TATGCCGAAGGCGTTTTCGCATTTACTGCTTCATCAGGGCATACAGAACAAGAGATACATAGGAGTATATATACTTCTATGTATCTCTTGTTCTGCATGCCCTGATGAAGCAGTAAATGCGAAAAGGCCTTTGGCATATTCGTGTGTTTTCCTGTACTTCTACTTGCAATGTGTATGTGTACATATATGTATATATACATACATATACAGATGTATATACGTATACGTATATATATGTACATATATATGCGTGTGTATGTGTGAAAGTGTGTGATAAACAGACACATAGATATATAGATATACATACATACGTATGCATATGTGGGGGGTATGTATGTACACTGTATATATATGGTATATGAATACATTCAAAATTCTGTATGTGTTTGTGTGTATAAATACACAGTATATATATATACAATGTATATATACAGATAAATTGGTAAACAGACTTATAGATAGATAAGGCAATATTTTGAAATTCTACTGGATATTATTTTTAAGACTTTAAGACGAAATCCAGGAAAATGTCGAAATTCTTGTCTCACCCTTCCATAAACATAAGTCGCGTAAGGCGTTTTTCTGTCAGACTGTCTATAGTACATACTTTTCCGCAATTAGTACCTCCTAAAGAATATTTATCAGTTGCTACATACTTATAAAACAGTTCCGTTTTTGACCAGACGAGACATCTGATCATGTACTCACCAGCTTCATGGTTGGTCGGTAAAGATAGCGGTGACAGCTGCCGGCAAGGTTTATATACTCCTGCATGACCCAAGGAGGTTAAAGGGGGTGGGGGTGGGAGAGGGGGAGGAGTGAATGGAGGAGAGAGTTGCTTTCTGAGTTGCGTTACTATGAATGGGCTGGATGCCTGCGATAAGGACATGGGAGCATTCCCTTTTAAAAAGATTTAGCCGATAAAACATTTTTACCTTTAAGCAAAGAAAGTCTGAAAATGCTGAATACAATGTAAAAATATATTCACCCATACTAACACATACACACATGCGAACAAGCACATACACATATATACTGTGTGTGTCTGTGTATGTATGCATACATAGCTATACATATATATATATACATTTGTCTGTGTGTGTCTGTATATATATGTATGTATATATATACAATTATACATATATTCATATATATGTATATATCCGTGCGTACACATATATATGTATATGTAAATATTATGCATATAGATAGATAATTAGATAGACAGATAGATATAAATGGGTGGATAGATAGGTATGTGTGCACACGTGCCTTTGTGCGTACGTGTTTGTGTCCAGCGCTTTAGCAACGTTCCTTTTAGGAATTACAATGTATTGTTTTTCCGCTAAATAAGGAACTAACACTGTCATAATGGAAATAACACTGGAGTGAGGCCACTTCTGAACAGTGCAGATAAAGAACCTCTGGTCGATGTGTATAAATCGCCAACGTTAATTGGACACCACGACGATTCAAGACCATGAAATCGTTAGCAATCGTTATAGATTAGCAAGTTTAGTGGTCATATACAACCAGAGACCAGTATTAAATGGCTAGTCACAGTGCACTTCAAAGAAAAGTTGAAAAATGGTGTCATTTGTGCCTTTCACAACCTGTGTCAATTAATTTGCAGATAAACATAAATTGCATACACATAAATAATCAGTTGTTGGGTCTTGCTTGCACGTGCTAAGAGGCATTCCTGCTCATCCCTTCTCAATTTATTATTTCCTTACTGCTGTATAGCCTCATGATGGATACAGTAAAGAAATGTGATGTGATTAATATTATGTAGAACTATTTTATTCAACTGAATTAAAATTTTGTAGAAGTGTTATATTTCGTAGGTGAACATTAAAATATCATTTACTTTTCATTTAGTGTTTAATTTTCTTTCCTGAAAGGACTGTGCACGTAGTCGCTGTCTGTTTAAAATATACAGCCTAAACAACCAGAAAAAATCCGGTATTTTCGAAAATCCGGCACTCCTCGGATCTGGAGGTTGTCAACCTGTGTGTGTGTGTGGGTTTATATATGTATATATATATATATATATATATATATATATATATATATATATATATGTGTGTGTGTGTGTGTACTGTAATATATTTATTATACATATATATGTGTGTGTATATATAGTATATACATATATATAAATGTATACTATATATACATATATATATACTGTGTGTATGCATATGTATATATATATATATGTAAATATATACATGCGTGTCATTTAATTTGTAGACAAACATAAAAAGAGAATACAAACACACACACACATACACACACTCATATATATACATATATATGTGTGTGTGTGTGTGCGGTATCAGTTTGCATGCCTATCCCTTGATACATTGCGATACACCCTGACCAGCCAATCAGAGTGCGATACTTATCAGCTATATTTTACATAGTTTTAGATAGGTATTTAAATTTTCATTAATTACGGATTGCATCGTATGGTCCTTGATATAGAATTCCTATATAAAGGTGCATAAAATGTTTCTGAGCCATTTTAGCAGTGAATCAAATGTATATTCACTCTATATGGGTAAAATTAGAAATCAACCATGACGGTCGCTGAAACAACACGGAAAATATTTGCAACGTGCCCGAGTCATATGAAGTATTACTGTACCTCTATGATCCTCTATGATACAACCTTACAGGCTCAAAAAATCCGTTTTGTACCTTGTTTTGTTGATATAGTTCAGGTAATAAGACAAGTAAATGCCTGTGATCATTGGAATTATCCAGAACACGGGGCACACTCGCGGTGAATGCGATAAAATGCAAAACAACACTTTTCATATGAAGAATAATGTATGTAATATGAAAGAAAGATTTTGATTGAATCTGAGAAATACATTTGAAAGTTTCCACAGCCTTGCGAAATGAAGAGTGGTGTGTAAAAACAATACAAGTTGCAGAGTAGTCAGGTACATTTTCCGTTTTATTTCAAGCTTCCACAATTTTTTGCTTGTAATAAAAAATCATACCAGCATATGAAGTAGTTTAATGGTTTTGTATTGATTTTTTTATTTATTAAGAAAACTAACTTTTCCTATTCTCAAAACTTTGTATATCTGTACAAACTTTTGTAGCAACTGCGAGGCAACATTAAACAATGTATCAAAGTGTTAGGGGTTTCGGGATGCAACAAAAAAGGCCTTATATATGTGTGTGCACACACATACATGTATATGAGTGTGTGTATGTATGTGTGTGTATATATAAATATATACATGTATATGTATATATTTACACACATATATATATATGTGTGTGTGTGTGTGTGTGTGTGCGTCCGTGCGTGGGTGAGGACTGCCTGCGTGCGTGTGTGCGTAGGTGTACGTATAACCACGCATACATCCATACACACATAGAGGTAGTGGTAAATTGGCGTCCCTCTCGTCTGTGACCCTTAGCCCCGGGACCAAGGACGGGCACCTTGTTTCGACCCCGGATTATTTGAGGCTGCATGTCGTGATGTCCACATTCCTTTTCTGCGAATATATATATATATATATATATATATATATATATATATATATATATATATACATATATATATGTACATATATATATACATGATGCTTCTACAATCATCTAAAACAGGTGGTGTGTATATATATATATAGAGAGAGAGAGAGAGATATGTGTGTGTGCGTGTGTGTGTGTGTATATATACACAAACACACACACATATATATCACTTGTTTTAGATGCATTGTAGAAACATCATGTAACTGAAGGATACAAGCATTGCTCTAATTGTATGTATGTTTTTTTTTGTCTTCGTTATCACTAACGCACTTTTCTTGAACGCAAAAAGATGGCGTTATTACGGATGTTTATAATAGCAGCCTGTCCATCTCAGCATTTAGCTGCAACCTTGCCAATGTCGCAGAGATATTCATCACGATTGCCCGCTGGTCATTCTTACAACATTGCTGCTTTGAGTCACGTTTTTTTTTTTTTTTATCACTCCCATATACATTAAAGTCGGACCTCCTCGAGAGTATGGATACTGGCAAAATAATTCGGTCGTGTATTCCATCTTATCCTTATGGAATGAAAAGCTTAAGTAGGCTCAAGAGTAAACCTTAACAAAAGCATCTGACTTAGTGGATGAGTTTGTTAAATACAGTTATAACTGAATTTCTTTTGGACATGAATTACGGCGATGAAGATACTTAAATCCTCGTGATTTTCTTCTCCAGCGTGAACTGCTTTTGTGGATTGCTGCACAAGTGAACATATTACGTGGTAAACCTATTGAGAATCACAAGCAAGATATTTTCGTCTCGTTACCTGCAACACTGATTGTCAAGATCATTGAAGTGGTATTTCAGGGTTTGTTATCTTTTCTTTTTTTCATTCTGCCATGTATTAATTCTCACTAGCTTGGTTCCTTTGGAATCCGCAAACTCCAGTTTAGATGGCAATTGTACAAGCTTCCCTTCTCTTTTGGCTTTCTTTATTTAACTATTAATTCACTTATGCCTCTATTTTTTTTTTTTTTTTTTTTTTTTTTTGGTTTGTAAAGGTTCGGTTATTGTACACTGCCTACAGATTCGTGAAGCCATTGCTTTTATGGATTTTGTACATCCCTCCATATGTTCCACATGGGTTTCGTCCGATGAACACCCAATCCTTCATCAAGATCAGGTTGTGACTCAATGTAATTTTTATTATTGTCATTATTAGTAGTAGAGTTATTCCATTAAGGCTCGCATTATATATATATATACCAACATCTTTAAACATGTGTGTTCGTGCGTGTGTTATCTGTGTGTGTGTATGTAACCAGTATGAATGGTCAAGTCGATTCCAACGAATATATATAAGGTAAAAGTATTTGGATCATCTGCTCCTGTTACGCTTTACAGGCTCCTTGACTTGGTAGAGCTTATTCATAATGAAGACCGTGACTCTCCGAGTCTTCCTCTTAAAGAACAGTTTAGGTTACCTCTAATCTCAAATGTTTTATGTACCATTTATTTGTTGCATTGTATATCCTCAAGGTTATTTAAAAATTGAAGATGAAGCCATTGTGAGAATGGTGCATCGGAAATCACTTAATCGAAGGTAATTCCTCTTGCGCGCTGATCCTCAGCAATGCGGAGCAGTTCGTACACGTGTTCAGGCAGCGGCGGGGCGACGGGCAGGAGGTCGGACGAGGGCTGGAAGCCGTTTTCGTCGGCCACGAAGCTGACTTCGGCGGTAGTTCCATCGGGAAGGAGGAAGCTAAAACAAGGGACGTCAACATTAGAATTTAAAGAGACCACAAGTTGCGTGAGTAGTATAACAGAAATTTTAGTGACATAACAGTCATGACAGATCTATCACTTTACCTGTAAGATCCCTGCATGTTGCTCTGGCCCTCAGATCCAGGAGTGCCAGCGTTGGAGGAGCTGATACCGTTGCTGGTCTGGAAAGTGTACTGGAAGTTGCCGTCGCCGTTGTCGGACCTCTCGTCCAAAACGGTCTCGGCCTCAGAGTCGGGTCTCTGAGGGCGGGCGAGGGCGACGGCGGCCAGGCAGGCGAAGATGATCTGTTGGGGCAGTCTGGTTATTATCTTAGTTCTTGTCGTTGCTTTCCACTACGTAAGTGAAGCAGCATTGCTCCATTTGTCTCCAGCTATAACAAAAGTGTAATAAAGCACAGAGCTTGAGCAAGCATAAACTACGGTCTACTCACCAGCTTCAT